TAACCAACGGAATTATAGAAATGACAATAGGTACCAACAAAAAGGTCAATACTCTTCCACTCACAACCCACCCGGTTTCAATGGAGGTGTAAGACCAAATCTAGCTCCTATTCCTAAACCACTTCAAATTCAAGCCCCTCCTCCTCCTAAGTCTAATTTAGAAAGCATGATGGAGCAATTCATCAACACTCAAACTAAAAAGACAAATGACTTAGAGGAAAGCCTAAAGCAAATGCAAACCCATAATAAAATGTTGGAAAATCAAATGGCCCAAATAGCTAGTGCCCTTAAAGGAAAGTCTAGTACCTCATTGCCTAGTCAAGGTCTAGATCCTAGAGAGCAAGCCAATGCCATTGTGACTAGAAGTGGGAAAAGCTTGGGGGAATTCCAAGGGAAGGGAATGCAACATGACTTAGAAGGTGAGAAATCAAAAGAAAGAGTGATTGAAATGATTGATTCCCATGGAGAGTTGAGAGTATAAGAAGAAGATGAGAAAAACAAAAAGAAAGAAGTTGAAAAAGAAAAAAAAAGAGAGTGAAATCCCACTACATGTGGAAAAGCTTCCTTTTCCAGGAAGGTTTTCCGGGTCTAGACTTGATGAACAATTTGCTAAGTTTTTGGAAGTTTTGAGGAAGCTTTATGTTAACATTCCATTCACCGATGCTATAAAACAAATGCCAACTTATGCTAAATTTATTAAGGACATTTTGAGTAATAAAAGAGAAGTTGACTTTGTGGAAACGATTAATATGCCGGAAAATTGTAGTGCAATTATTCAAAATAAGTTTCCCACTAAGCTTAAAGATCCCGATAGTTTTTCTATTCCATGTGCTATTGGTAAAATGGTAATTGATCGTGCTTTATGTGATCTTGGTGCTAGCATAAGCTTGATGCCCCTTTCTATGTGCAAAATACTTGGCCTAGGAGAGTTAAAGCCCACTAACATTTCCCTTCAATTAGCCTATCGTTCGGTTAAGATGCCTTTGGAAAAATTAGAGGATGTCCCCCTTAGGGTGGGCAAACTTTACATTCCGGTGGATTTTATTGTGCTTGATATGGATGAGGACTTGAATGTCCCCATAATTATAGGTAGGCCTTTCTTAGCCACGGCGGGGGCTATTATTGATGTGAAACATGGTAAATTTTCTTTGCTTGTTGGAGAAGAGAAAGTGGAATTCAAATTGAACCAAGTTATGAAATGTCCTTCCAACATGGATGATTGTATGAGTATTGATATTGTTGAGAATGTTATTAATGAATCCATACAATTGCATTTGCATAACACTAATGATTCTCTTGAGTATGAACTTGAAAGCAAAGATAGGTCTTACAATGAAGACATGGAGATGGAGCCAATTGAGGAGATTCTTGACTCCACCCCCGTGGACAAGGAAGAAGCAAACCTAGTAATTGGAAAAGAAGAAGTGAAGAAACAACTAATGAACGACAATGGTAAGGAATGCCCAAGTGTAGAGCTAAAACCTCTACCATCCAACTCATGAACGACAATGGTAAGGAATACCCAAGTGTAGACCATTTCCCATTGCCTTTTATTGATCAAATGTTGGAAAGGCTAGCGGTTCACAAGTATTTTTTTTATCTTGATGGTTATTCCGGGTTCTTTCAAATCCCAATTCACCCGGATGACCAAGAGAAAACAACATTCACTTGTCCATATGACACCTATGCTTACCGTAGGATGCCATTTGGCTTATGCAATGCCCCCGTTACCTTCCAAAGATGTATGATGGCAATTTTTGCGGATATGATTGAGAAAGAAATGGAAGTTTTTATGGATGACTTCTCGGTTGGGGGAAGTTCTTTTGATGATTGTTTAATTAATCTCACGCGATGTTTGAAAAAGTGTGAAGAGGTCAACCTTGTCCTCAATTGGGAGAAATGTCATTTTATGGTTCAAGAAGGCATTGTTCTTGGCCATAAGATCTCTCATGAGGGGATTGAGGTTGATAGGGCTAAGGTGGATGTAATAGAGAAGCTCCCACCCCCTACTAATATGAAATGGGTGAGATCTTTCTTGGGACATGCCGGTTTCTATCGGCTTTTCATCAAGGACTTCTCTAAAATAGCCAAACCTCTTACTACACTTCTTCAAAAGGAGTGTGATTTTGTATTTGATAATGCTTGTCTAGATGCATTTTGTAGGTTGAAGAATGCATTGATCTCGGCACCAATAGTGCAAGCTCCGGATTAGAGCCTCCCCTTTGAATTAATGTGTGATGCAAGTGACACGGAGGTTGGTGCCGTGTTGGGGAAAAAGAAAGAAAAAAGGGTGCACGTGATCCACTATGCAAGCAAGACATTGAATTATGCACAAAAAAACTACACCACGACCGAAAAGGAGCTTCTTGCGATAATCTATGCTTTTGACAAGTTCCGTTCCTACCTATTGGGTTCAAAGACCATTGTCTACACCGACCATTCGACAATCAAATATCTCATGTCCAAGAAGCATTCAAAGCCTAGTTTGATGAGATGGATGCTTGCTTTGCAAGATTTTGATATAGAAGTGAAAGACAAAAAGGGGACGGAAAATTCGGTAGCGGATCATTTGTCAAGGTTGGAAATCCGAGACGAAGATGTTGATCAAATTCCAATCAATGATGAGCTCAAAGATGATGTTTTGTATGCTATACAAGCAAAGTCATTGCCTTGGTATGCCGATATAGTGAACTACTTGTCTTGTGAGGCGATTCCACCGGAGTTCACCCCTCAACAAAGAAGAAAGTTGAAGCATGTGTCGAAAAGGTACATGTGGGATGATCCTATTTTGTACAAGATAGGGGTGGATGATCTTTTGAGAAGATGTGTTCCCGACGATGAAATTCAAAGTGTGCTTCATATGTGCCACTCATCACAATGTGGTGGTCATATGGGAGCAAACAAAACGGCGGCAAAAGTGTTGCAATGTTTGTTATTTTGGCCTACTCTCTTCAAGGATGCATGGGTCTTTGTGAGGACTTGTGACAAATGCCAAAGAACCGGGAACATATCAAAAAGAAATGAGATGCCTCAAAATCCGATCTTGGAATTGGAGGTGTTTGATGTTTGGGGGATCGACTTCATGGTTCCCTTTCCTTCATCTTAAGGTAATCTCTACATTCTAGTAGCGGTGGACTATGTGTCCAAATGGGTGGAAGCTCTTAGATCATGATATACACGTTTTATACATATATCCTCCCAACTTTTCATTACGTTTTTGCATGGTTTTGGGCTCTTTTGAGCCATTTCCCGCTAACAATCTCCTCTCTAGTGTGTTCGGTGTATTTTTATAAGTTTTACAGGAATTTGGAGTTTTCCGGACAATTCGGACATGTTTAGAGCAATTTGGAGATGTTAGTGGACGAGGACGTATAAGCAAGCTAAACAACGAACCAAGACTAAGGAGAAAGGAGGAAGAAAAGCAGCAATTATAGCTGTGCCCGACCGGGTTAGGCATGCCCGGTCAGATCGGGCGCAATAGAGGAATTCAGGCTAATGGCAGTCAAAGCAATCATCTGAATTTGGCAATCTGTGCCACGCGCCCGATCGGGAAACCCATGCCCGGTCAGACCGGGCGCATGGTAGAAGAAGCTTGACATTGCTACGAAGCTCAAGAGAAGGCAGCAGGATGATTTTGGTCTCGCGCCCGATCGGGCTCAACCTGCTCGGTTGGACCGGGCGAAGAAGAACTCCAGCGGAAGCAATTTTAGCAACTTTAATCCTAAATGCCCGATCGGGCAGGCACAGCGCGGTTGGACCGGGCACAGTTATGCGACACTCCGTATTATTATTTTCTTATTTTTAGGTCATTAAGGGTATAAATACCCCTTGTAATCTTCATTAGAAAAAAGTTTTAGTTTTCCATTATTCCTCTTTCTCTCTCTAGAATTCTAATTTATCATTTTGAAGCAATTTTAATTCCTTGCACAAGATTTGAGCATTGTTCTTCAACAATTTAATTCCTTTCAATTGAAGAATCCTTGGTATTCACTTCTACTTCATCCTCTTTCAATTATAATTGCTTTTCAATTATGTTTTCCATATTTATGATTGTTATTGTTTCTTTCAATATGTGTGAGTAGATTTTCTATTCCAAGATCTAGGGTAGCCCAATTATGATTGATGCATGAATTAAAACTTTAAATTCTCTAATGACTTTTACAATTGCTATGCTAATTTGATTGTGATTATGCCAATACTAGGTTAGACGTAATCTTAGTATTGTGATTATTCCACTGTTTCTATCACAACGAGAGTTGGATTTAAACGGATTTGAGTAGATCAATTTAGGGTTTGATTTTCAACATGAGAATAGTTGGGTTGATGATTGGGAAGTGAGAGTAATGTGTTTAATGTCTCTAATATGCATGATACCATGAGAATAGGCTTGATTGTATGTTAGGGAAGCCATTGATACTCGAGAGAGGTCCTTGGTATTGATTAGGGTTTACTTTTCCCCGTTCAATTAGAATTGTATGTTAGGGGTAGAAATATAATTGCATCATTCGTAATTGTGGTGATACTTGATCTTGGATGTTTTAATTATTTGATTTCTTCATATTCTTTAGTTTATTTTCGAATTTTCCATACAATAGTTCTTTAGTTAATCGATCATTGTTGAATTCTGCTTAGTAATTACTTGAGTCTAAATAGTTATTGGTGAACCATAGTCTCTTGGGATTCGACCCTTACTTGCCAGTCTACATAGTAGTGGTTAGTTAGGTTATTTTTGCTAGGTACGCGACACGCCTATCAAATTTTGGCGCCGTTGCCGGGGACTAACAATTTCATTAGATTATTTGTGATTCGTTTTTGCTAGGCTTATTTCGTTGCTTCGGCTATTTTCTCTTGTGTTTTTGATACTCTTTCTCTAGTTTTCTTGTTGCATGCCCACACAAAGCTCAGGTTCGGAAGATCTAGTACCTTTTGATTTTGAAATCGAAGCAACCGCAAGAAGACGGGCAGGTAGAAGAAGAAGGAGAAATCAAACCAGTAGAAACATGGTAGACCAACCAACGAAATCCCTTCTGGAGTACGGTATTCCTGATACGACTACCGGAATCCTTTCTAGCATCGTAAGACCACCTGTGACGGCTCAGCACTTCGAGCTCAAGCCGCAATTCATCCAGTTCATCTCCAATGATTCATTTGCAGGGCTATCACATGATTGCCCAGTAAGTCATATTGATAGCTTTTTGGAGAAATGTGATACCATGAAGATGAATGGTGTTACAGACGATGCTCTTAGACTTCGCCTTTTTCCTTTTTCATTACGGGATAGGGCGAAGGAATGGCTGAGAGATGAAGGTTCTGGCTCATTTGACACATGGGACAAATTGGTGAAGGCTTTCCTAGTCAAGTTCTTGGGACAGGAAAAGACTGCAAAGGTTGAGAAACGAGTTATCCACTTTCAGGCAGTCAGATGATGAGTCCCTATATGACACATGGAGGAGATTCAAGCGTTTGCAGAGACAATGCCCTCACCATGGTATTCCTGAATGGATGTTGATCCAAACTTTCTACAATGGCCTAACTCATGAGTTCCGAATCTACATTGACGCTGCATCTAGGGGCTCTCTCTTGACAAAGAACCCCACTGAAGCAAAGGAGCTTATAGAGAAGATGGCAGCCAACGATAATTATCATCCAGGAGGCCGAAACACTGTGGAAAAAGGGAGGTAAACTTGATGTTGATGCCTTAACTATGCTAACCAGTTCTGTGCAGGCACTAACAAGCAGGTTTGATAAGTTCCAAGCTGGAACCTCTACTAGCCCACAGGAGTTGTGTCAATTGTGTAATGTGCAGGGTCATATTGCACCAGATTGCCCGCAGATTTCGCAGAATACAGAGGAGATGTCAATCGAGCAGGCCAATGCTTTCTACTCCTCTAACCCCAAAAGGCCCTATGACCCCTATTCCAACACCTATAATGAAGGATGGAAACACCATCCTAACTTTTCATACAATAATACCCAAGCACAGCAAAATCCACCTCAACCCAACAACTACAACCAACCACCACCCGGTTTCCAACAAAGACCACCCAGCACCCAACAACCAATGCAACCACAACCTCAGAAATCTAGCCTTGAGGTGACGTTAGAGAGATTTATAACCGCAACAAATAGTGCCATCCAACACCAAAATAGCTCTATCCAACAGTTGCAGGCCCAGAGTAAACTCATGAAAAACCAGATAAGCCAACTTGCCAATCAAGTTAGCCAATCTTTAAAGATTCCAGGAACTTTTCCGGGCCAGACAGAACAACCTCAAAAAGGCCAAATGAATGTTGTTACCCTGAGGAGTGGAAAGCAATTGGAAGATCCTCTACCAAGGAGCCATCAAAGGAGGTCATTGAAGAAGCAGGTGCAAGTGAGAAGGAAGTTGACAACTCTAAGGTCGAGGATGAATCAAAGGAAGCACCACCAAATCCACTTGCTCCGTATGTGCCCAAGGTTCCTTTTCCTCAAAGGTTAGCCCAAGCTAAACTTGAGAAAAAGTTCAGTAAGTTTCTTGATATTCTTAAAAAGCTTCATATTAATATTCCATTTTTAGATGCCATATCTGAGATGCCTTCTTATGCAAAATTCTTAAAAGATATGCTACCTAACAAGAAAAAGTTAGAAGATAATACTACAGTTGCTTTGAATGCAGAGTGCAGTGCTATTTTGCAGAACACTCTCCCTAAGAAATTAGGAGATCCAGGTAGCTATTCGATTCCAGTGAAGCTTGGAGATATCGAAATTAACAGGGCATTGTGTGATCTAGGTGCAAGTGTAAGCCTCATGCCACTGTCCATATGCAAGAAGCTGCAAATGCGTGAGCTCAAACCCACACGCATATCCCTGCAACTTGCAGACAGGTCAGTGAAGTTTCCTTTGGGTGTACTTGAGGATGTACCTCTTCGCGTAGGTAAGTTTTTCATACCCTGTGATTTTGTTGTGATGGAGATGGATGAAAATGTGAATGTTCCAATTATACTTGGTAGACCTTTCTTAGCTACTGCAGGTGCAATTATTGATATGAAGAAAGGTAAGATTACTTTTGAAGTAGGTGATGAGAAATTGGAATACTCACTTTTGAATGTCATGGGTGCTCCTTCTATGGGAGACACTATTTGTCAGGTTGATGTGCTTGATGAGCTGCAGAATGAGCAACTTCCCTTGAATCAGAATGATGATGCTCTTGAACAAGTGCTATTAGGGAAGGAAGATGATGATGGAAATTGGGAGTCAAGAGAGTATGTCAGGCTGTTTGAAGAAGCAAAGGCCGATCTGAACATGAATCCAATCAGAGAGACATTGAGTGTAATGAGTATTGGGGAGAGTTCTAAGCCTCCCGAGGTAGAGTTGAAACCCCTCCCCTCTAACTTAAAGTATGCATATCTTGGTCCAAACAATTCATATCCTGTTATTGTTAATGCTGAACTCAAGGACACAGAATTGGAGCAATTGCTCAATGTTCTGAAAACATATAAAAGTGTTATTGGGTACACTATTGATGATATCAAGGGTATTAATCCTTCTTTTTGTATGCATAAGATCATTCTTGAAAACGATCATGCCTCTTCTGTAGAACCTCAGAGAAGACTTAATCCAAATATGATGGAGGTAGTGAAAAAAGAGGTTCTGAAATTGCTTGCTACAGGAATAATCTACCCTATCTCTGATAATAAGTGGGTTAGCCCTGTACAAGTAGTACCAAAGAAGGGAGGTATGACCGTTGTCAAAAATGACAAGGGTGAGCCAGTCGCCACTAGGACTGTTACAGGGTGGCGAATGTGTATAGATTATAGAAAATTGAATAAAGCCACCCTGAAAGATCATTTTCCCCTACCCTTTATTGATCAAATGCTTGAAAGGTTGGCAAAGAATTCCTTTTTCTGTTACTTGGATGGATATTCTGGTTTCTTTCAAATTCCCATCCGTCCCTGTGACCAGGAAAAGACTACTGTCACATGTCCATATGGCACCTTTGCATATCGCAGGATGCCATTTGGACTATGTAATGCCCCTGCCACTTTTCAGAGATGTATGATGGCAAAATTCTCAAGACTCATAGAAAACTCTATGGAAGTCTTTATGGATGACTTCTCCGTCTATGGAACAACCTTCGATGTATGCCTTGCAAATTTGAAGAAGGTGCTCCAAAGATGTAAAGAGGTCAATTTAATCTTAAACTGGGAAAAATGCCATTTTATGGTACAACAAGGTATTGTTTTAGGCCATGTTGTATCCAATAAGGGTATTGAAGTAGACAGAGCTAAAATAGAGGTCATAGACCGCTTACCACCACCAAACTCTGTAAAAGGAGTTCAAAGTTTCCTTGGACATGCAGGTTTTTATCGTCGTTTTATCAAGGATTTTTCGAAAATTGCTCGACCTCTAACTGAGCTCTTGGCCAAGGATGTACCTTTTTTTTTTTCTGATGCTTGTCTTAAGGCTTTTAACAGGTTAAAGGAAGCCTTGATATCTGCTCCTGTCATGCAAACCCCAGATTGGAGTCTGCCGTTCGAAATCATGTGCGATGCTAGTGATTATGCGGTAGGAGCCGTGTTGGGGCAAAGGAAGGAGAAGAAGCTTCATGCAATATACTATGCTAGCAAAACTTTGAGTTCTGCTCAAATGAATTATGCCACGACAGAAAAAGAAATGCTAGCAGTAATATATGCAATTGACAAGTTTCACTCTTATTTGGTAGGTTCTAAGGTCATCATTCATACAGATCATGCAGCATTGAGATACTTGATGACCAAAACCCATGCCAAGCCTAGGTTGATTCGATGGATTCTTCAACTACAGGATTATGACATCGAAATCAAGGATACCAAGGGAACGGAGAATGTTGTTGCAGACCATCTTTCCCGTCTTATCCTTGACCCTGAGAATGGAGATGAAGTTCCTTTTGATGATTCTTTTCCTGCAGAGCACTTATTAGTTTTATTACAGACTGAATCACCTTGGTTTGCTGACTTGGCTAATTTCCTCTCTACAGGTACAATGCCTCATGGCTACTCCTCTCAACAGAGGAAGAAATTCCTTTCTGAGGCAAGGATATATTTCTAGGATGATCCGTTCCTGTACAAACAATGCGCAGATTCTATGATTCGAAGATGCATTCCAGAAATTGAGGTAAATTATATAATTTCTCATTGCCATGACTTACCTTGTGGTGGACATGCAGGCCCCTCGAAGACAATTGCAAAGATCTTGCAATGCGGATTTTATTGGCCTACTATGTTCAAGGATACATATGCCTATGTCACGGCTTGCGATAGATGTCAACGGACGGGCACAATTTCTAAGAAGAACGAGATGCCACTTAACAACATACTCGAGGTCGAGTTGTTTGATGTGTGGGGGATAGATTTCATGGGTCCGTTTCCCTCTTCCTATGGCAACAATTATATCTTGCTAGCCGTTGATTATGTCTCAAAGTGGGTGGAAGCAATTGCTACTCCAACCAACGATGCTCGTGTGGTAAGTAAGTTTTTCAAGAAAGTTATTTTCCCTCGTTTTGGTTTACCACGTGTGTTGATTAGTGACAGGGGAACACATTTTCTGGAGCATCGATTTGAGGCGATGTTGAAGAAATATGGAGTGCAACATAAGCTTGGAATTGGCTACCACCCACAGACTAGTGGCCAAGTTGAAGTGTCAAATTGAGAGATCAAGTCCATCATCGAAAAAACTGTTGCACGAACAAGAAAGGACTGGTCTGTCAAGCTAGATGATGCACTTTGGGCGTACCGAACGGCCTTCAAAACGCCAATCGGAACAACCCCATATAGGCTTGTCTATGGAAAAGCGTGCCATCTTCCCGTCGAGCTAGAACACCGAGCATTCTGGGCCATAAAAAGCTTGAATTTTGATGCCAAAGCAGCGGAAGAGAATAAATTGTTACAACTTAATGAATTAGATGAGCTTCGTCTCGAAGCCTATGAGAATTCGAGGTTGTATAAAGAGAAAACAAAAAGGTGGCATGACAAAAACCTTGTGAGAAGAGAGTTCAAAGAAGGGGATCAAGTCCTTCTTTTCAACTCTAGGTTGAGACTATTCCCAGGTAAGCTTCGGTCTAGGTGGTCGGGGCCATTCAAGATCAGAAAAGTTTTCCCCTACGGCATTATCGAGTTGGAGAACACAAGAGGGGAACCCTTCAAGGTCAATGGACAGAGAGTGAAGCATTTCCGAGTCGTTGATCCCATCGGTGAGGGGGTGGACATCACACTCTCATCCCCATCACAAAACTCTTGAGAATTATTATGGTCAAGCTAAAGACCTTAAAAACAAGCGCTTTTCGGGAGGCAACCCATTTTTCTTTTAATTCCCCCCGTTTTTCAATTAATTTCTCTTATTTTTTTTATGAAGTTTTGTGTGTGTCTTTTATCTTCAGAGAATATCAGCATATAGGAAAAGTGGGACGCCGATAAAGTTTAGCAAAAGTGGAAGAATAAGGTTTTCACTCTCCGCCCGATCAGACCGGGCAGTGTCCGCCCGATCGGGCGCGAGAGATGAGATTGGAAGAAAGAAGGGCGAAGCAGGGATTACTCTCCGCCCGACCAGACCGGGCAAGATAAGCCCGATCGGGCGCGAGAGCATCTGTTGGTTCGGCTACATTGGCTGCGTACTCTACCCCCCACGCCCGATCAGGCCGGGCAGTGAGTGCCCGATCGGGCACAGGAGGTTAAGGCCTCACCAAATTTTCTAAAAAAAAAAAAAAAAAAAAGGGGTTTTGCCCGATCAGATCGGGCTATGCCAGCCCGATCGGGCACGAGTACTTCAGGAATAAGCAGCAGCAGCAGAACATGAGAAACCTTTTACGCCCGATCAGACCGGGTAGCACCCGCCCGATCGGGCGCGAAGATTAACCTGCGAAATCCAGCCATCAAAACCCGATTTTCCCCTTTCTTTTCTCATTCCTTCTTTCATCTTCAACCCTCTTCCACTCTTTCTCTCTCTAAAAACCCCCAAATTCCAACACCTTAACTCCTCACTTCTACAAAAACCACCATAAATCCCCACTAAAAACACAAAATTCCTTCATCCTTCATCTTCCTCATCCATTCCTAACATCCACAACAACCTTTACCACTAAAAATTCCACCTTCTCAGAAACTCTAGAGAGAGAAAGCTCCAAGTTCATCATCCATGACACCCTTCTTTACAAGGAAACGGAGTAGGGCGGCTCAAGCACAACCGCAACTAGATTTGGAGATCATTCCGGAATATCCTAACATCCACTTCGTCGCCGAGTTCCCAAACCAGAAAACGAGGTTGCTTGAACTTCGACACCGTAAGGTAATTCCTACTCGGTTTATAGACCGAGCCTTGCTCTCTAGGTTAGGTATTGACAATGAATGCCGTACATTATTTGCTAAACTTGGCATGACTCAGTTATTTAATATGATTCACTACACATTTGAAGACATTACTTTAGAATTTCTTAGCTCATTTGATGTAGTGAAAGGTAGGGATGGCCTAGTGACGCATGTAGTGTACAGATTGTTGAACAGGTCACACCGTCTCACTCTAGACGGTTTTGGTAGAAAATTCGGACTCCCTTCAACAGGTTTAACTGTACAACCCGACAGTTTCACATCAGGGGAATTATGGTTGGCTATGACAGGGGAAAACATTGACTCAATGCAACATGCCCGAGCCAACAAAATACACCAACCAGTTCTTAGGTTTTGGACTAGGTCTTCAGGATGGACCATTTTTGGTAGGATAGAGCCGAACAACGTTAGAGTAGATGAGGTGGCTATTCTAGGTAGCTACCTTAGGCTAGGGGACGAGGGACAGGGATTTAAGATGAACATTGCCCACTTCTTTGCCCTTCACCTTAGGAAACAGGGGGCAACTTTCACGGCCCTCAAACCCAATGGCGATCGGACTAACATTCCGATTGTTTTAGGAGGCCAAGTCACCCATCTTGCGGTTAAGGAGGGCTTTATAGAAGCCCAAAACCGCCCAGTACCAGGACCTATCACCCTAGACCAGCAATACCTCACCACCACCGGCTGGTTGTCGGTGGAATACGGTAGCTATAGGTGGCTTTTAGATAGGAGTACTAGGCGGTCCATATCCTTGCCTTCCCTTGAGCTTACCAGGATTCAGCCTTTCCAGCCCTCCTACCTACTCCACGCCCCTGGCGATGGCCCTCCTCCCGCTGCACCCACTAGGACATACCATAGGAGAGAGCGTGCCAGCCAGCCTTCTACCTCCACTGATGCACCACCTCCCCCTACCGGTCATGAGGCTATCATAGCCGGAATACAGGACCTTAGGCTAGGCCAGGAGCAGATTAGGCTAGAGCAGCAGTCCTTAGCCGGCCGAGTCCAGACTTTAGAGATTGACATACGTCAATCTATGCTTCCTGTATATGATTTTTTCTGCAGGCAGGGTCATATCCCGAGGGATGCTACCCATCCCTCGTGGTATACCTATCCTAGTATTATTGACATTGCAGGTAGCAGTGGAGCAGCCGGAGGAGGAGGAGATGACGATGGTGGAGATGATGGAGATGACGATGGTGGAAATGATGGTGATGACGATGGAGATGACGATGATGGTGATGGGACTGAGATCGAGTTCGAGTGAGGACTCCGACATCTCCTACTTCCCACTTGCTGCAATGAGGACATTGCCAAGTGCAGCTTGGGGAAGTTATTTGTACATAGTAGCCCTGGTATGTTCTCTGAGCTTTTCTTATTGCTTTTATTTGCTTTATTTGCTTTAATATGTTAGTTTAATTGCTCAAAATATTTCAAAAAAAAAAATTAAATTAAAAAAAATATATACGAAGAGAATCATGATAATTAATAGCCATTGAACTGCTTCCCTGTGCCCCTATCCTAAATAATAAAAAGGTTTTGATTTAATGTTGATTGACGACTTGCATTGTAGTCCGAAAGATCATGATTTGACCTTGAATTTGTTGATCCCTAGTAGGAGTCAAGGTTATTTAACTATGTATGATTCAGGAGCTTGACTGTGTTAACTGTGCGGCTTGAGCCTTATATATTCATTCTTGTGTGTGTTTAGTTCCTGGTGTAGCATTGATCTTAGTTTTGACTTTAGACTCTTAGTAGTGTGTCGTAATGCATTGCACGTGCACATTTAAATGACGAAGGCCATGTTCATTAGGTAGCCTCCAGACAAAATTAGAACATCAGTTCCCTTCTTGCTTACCCATGTTGTAGCTTGACTATATTTTTCATAAACTCCACAAAAATTACCCCTTGGCCCCAATTTGATTACTTTTCCCAAGTCTAGCTTGGGGGAGCTATTTTATGCGGTATTTTTGCGTGATTCTGTTTCAAGTTGCAATTGATGCGAAAATATTGAAAAGAAAAGGAAGAAGAAGAGCAAAAGTGAGAAAAGGAGGTTTGATTGAACTACTTGAAAAAAAAAAGTAACATTTCTTGAAAAAGAAAGAGAGAAATAAAGAAAAGAAAGAAAAATATTTGGAAAAAGTTTCAAATGAAAAATTTGTTGGATTGAAAAAAAAAATAAAAAATAAAAAAATAAAAAAAATAAAGAAATGAAGCAAACAAGTAAAACAAGGTTGAAGAGTTGAGAATGTAGGTGGATGAGATGATAGTTGTGTTTTCATTGTAATTGGGTTTGTGTTTTCATTGATCGAAGTTGATGAATCGAGGTGTGACTCATCGCATTTGATAGTTCCCCCCCGGTTAGACTATTATAGCTCTCTTTCCCCAAATTATTGTCCGACCCATTCTTATTCCCGACCTACGTTACTAGCTTCACAAAGTCCTTCTGATCTTCGTGCATATCATTGCGTTCATGTGAATTGAGTCTTTTGTCAAAATGCTGGAGTGTATGTTGCATTTCAAGTCGACATTGACTAGGTTGAGCGTTATTATAACCCTCTAAACACGCGAGTGTTGTGAGATGGGGGGATTTCATTGTTGGTGGGGATGGTGAGAGATCGAGCTCATTTTTAGCTCGCCACATAAAAAGTGTGTTGAGTGACCACCGATGTGAGATACTCTAGTCTTCGATTCTTGAATTATAAATGGTTGGTCTCATTTGACGATTAATTAGGTGGATCGACGGTTTGAGTAATTTGATTGGTTGATTAGGATGCATGCTCGTTTGATTTCGATTTTGAATCCTTGTTTGATTTTGCATTATGGGGTGAAGCATGTTGTTTGGTTGTTGATGGTTGTTGATTATTGTTGATTGTCTTGCTTGAGGACAAGCAAGAGTTTAGCTTGGGGGAATTTGATATACACGTTTTATACATATATCTTCCCAACTTTTCATTACGTTTTTGCATGGTTTTGGGCTCTTTCGAGCCATTTCCCGCTAACAATCTCCTCTCTAGTGTGTTCGGTGTATTTTTATAAGTTTTACAGGAATTTGGAGTTTTCCGGACAATTCGGACATGTTTAGAGCAATTTGGAGATGTTAGTGGACGAGGACGTATAAGCAAGCTAAACAACGAACCAAGACTAAGGAGAAAGGAGGAAGAAAAGCAGCAATTATAGCTGTGCCTGACCGGGTTAGGCATGCCCGGTCAGATCGGGCGCAATAGAGGAATTCAGGCTAATGGCAGTCAAAGCAATCATCTGAATTTGGCAATCTGTGCCACGCGCCCGATCGGGCAACCCATGCCCGGCCAGACCGGGCGCATGGTAGAA